GCAGAAGAGAACAACTGTGGTGATAAAAGTCATGAGAGCGATTGCAACAGCTCAGAAAAGAATGAAAACTCTGTTATGCCCGGACGAGCTAATGATGTTCAGAAAATAAGAGAATGAAGAGTTTACCCAAGTCAAAAAACACCATCACAATGATGTTCTATCATAAAATAACAACTGCACGAAATTCTAATTTTTCAACCCCCCCATTACCCCTTGACACCTCCAAATTAAACAAAATGGGTAATTTCACCCCCCATGAGTACCATTGATCTAAACGATTGAAGGTATCTGTCTGCTGAAGATCAGAAATCATTTCAACTAATCATCGATTAAAGCGGTTCAAACGCTCGTTGTAAATTGCCAATTGCGTGATGATTTGCCGAGAATGTGAGGCAAAGCGAACCTCAATAGAGCCATACAAAATGGCATTGAGACCCAAGCAAATCGAGTAGGTGTACCATGACGTAGTCGCCGTTGCCATCACTGACGTTATCACGACACAAAGTTGACCAGTGAAAAAGAATTTTTTTCGTCCAAAATGGTCACCGAAGTGACCACCAACAAATGAACCAATAAACTGAAATTAGAGCACCAGTTTATTCAGGCATGCCTTCAACACTCCCTCGCCTCCCCGCTCCTGTTCCTTTGTTCAATCAATGGAAATATCTGTTCTCAGCTGGTGCGCACATGAGTTAATATAGTGCAGCCATGCGATAATTATTGTAATGCAAGACAAGTTCCAGAATCAGTTAGATTCAAGGGTAGTGAACGCTGAATTTTGACTAGCAAGTTTATAAAACTGCGCAATAAATATTGACATAGTGCATGATCTTTTTTAAGGAGCATATCTCTTCTCAAACAATCAATCTTTCAGTTGTCTCAAATGTTAGAAATGAATGGATCGAATGTTCAGTAAAGAATACAACGGCACTTTATTAAATGATCTACTGTCGAGCAGCATTGTTAGCATATTGGGATGTTCCGGATTCCAAGAGGCTGCAGTTCTCATTTTGAGATGCATATAAGCATACCGTACACACTGAGAGGAATGCTGAAATGATTAGCCCATAAAAGGCTCTAGAAGTCCTGCAATTAGTTCAAACTGACCCCTCCGATAGACTGAATAAGTTGTACGAGTTTTGGTCTATCACTTTCATCACAAATCGACTTCCATTGTGCCACCAGTGAATAGAATTCAACAGAAGATTTAATGGCGGTCAATTTGGTGCAATTCGCTTTGATGAATTGACACTGCGCTTCGTCCGTTGGTGCCTTTATAACAACGGTTCGATTATGTTTTGTTTCACAACTCCAGTCTGGTTCAATTGAGCCAAGAACACTCACAAATGTGTAATTACCTGGAAAATCAACGAAAATTAACGCGAAATTGCCCGACTTACAAACAGAATATCATCATATTTTAAAAATTAAACTCTTTCAATTTAACCACAGTAGAAAAGCATTGGATCACTGCGAAACGTTTCAGTTATCACAATAAAATTTTGTTTAGAACTATTTGCTGAATGGATGAAGGAAGTTGCAGCTTTTACGGTCAACTTTTCTTGTCTCTGTCGTTGTTGATTCAGTGAACAGTAAAAGAACTGCTCGGATATCGGTCTGTATAACCGCGTTCATTTGTATCAACAATGAACGATCGCGCACCCATATGACTGAATGTTCAGCAGAGGTGGACTATCCATGTATATACATCCTTGCTTTTACATGGTTTGAACCAATTCTTCAGAACAATCCAAATATTTGTGTAACTGAACCCTGTTTTCAAAGTACCTCATCGCATGCCAGAATAAGAGCACTTCAAAGAATGCAGCTTACCTGCCCATTCAATTGTAGCGAATAAAATACAAATACAGGCAAATATCTGAAATGTTCCAAACGGATTTACGCGTTCCAATACCTGAAAATCACTTGATGATTACCGTTACAGTTGAACACCGATAGATTTTTTCCAACTACGAGAAAGCGAATGCTCTATCGACGCTCACCGACCAGACACATTTAGAGCATTAGCCGGTTTCGGTCTAATGCTACTGACCCTTCAAATTAGCGAAACCCTTCAGAGTTGGTTAACACCGACCTGAATCTAATCAACATCATTTCATAACTGTGTAAGAATTATGAATTCAAAAGATCGCGATCCATAATGATTCGTTAAATTCTTTACTTCCGCCTTCCCATCCTCACATCCCCTCCAGAAAGAATTTCTCCATCGTAGAAGCACCAGTCTAATTAACAATCCTCGAAGTGCAATGTCTGGAAAGACCGATATTCCAGTCTCTAGAAAGCATTATAATGTTGAAAAACACGTCAAAATTTGAACTGACCTCTTCGAAATGCGTATACGAGCCGAGTTCTTTATGCTTACCCTTTTTATATTGGCTAATTTTTCCGGCGACGTGTCGAGATTCGTCTCCGTCATATGCATACGACATTTTATTACCAGATATTGATAATAACAGTTGATATCACTTACAAATCAATGAACAAATTCAACACGTTTTTTAAGATTTTATGATGTGCAGTCACATGTGCTCATCAGTGATAACATTCGGTTCAGTTCGATAAATTGACATGTACACGTTACTGGTTGGTATGTAAACACCCATTGCTATATCTTGTGCAGCTGATAACGAAATCGATCAATTTACTAATAATTCGAATACTGCTTGAATTTTGATGTCATCATTTTACAAATTTCGATGAAGTCATCATGTGCCAGGGAAAATTCGCTCGATGATGAAGAACTGCTGAAAAGTTGATAATATTCAAATGGTTTGATGGGCTATGGAGTGAGCTTTAAAAATGGAGGTTTATGGAAGTTAAACACTACAAAATTCTTGTTCGCAAACAGATTCGTTAAAGTTTACTCTCTTTCAGATCTACTCTTCTAACTTATAGTCTTTTTTCCAGTAATAAATGAGTTTTTCAGTAAATGAATTTTCTAGTTCTAGAATTATATTAATCACCATGAATCCATATTCATTTGTTCAAATGAATATACATGTTTTTATGTTTTTTGAAAGCAGATCAAAGGCAAAGATCATCCGAAAACTGAATCCACATCAAGCACAGTTCCTGGCTGAACAACCATCTGTAAGAACTGATAGGCAGAAATTAGACTGCAGAAGTTGAGCAACGAAATGGCATTCAGTTTTGTCGGAGAAGAATGAATATTCAAAACCATGTGCTTATTTGGAAAAAGTTGTGTGAAGATCTCTCGAATTATGGAAAACGTTCCGAACGAAAAGCTTCTCCGCACTCTCAGCTGTATAAACTTTTGAATAATTCCTATTGTCAAGGCATTTTTCGAACTCACCCTCTCAGTGCTGAATTTCTCCATATCATTGAAACTTAAGAAGTAGTGAGAGATCGAAAAGTTTGAAATTTCCGATTATCCTTTGATTTTGACTATCAGTTACACTTTTTTCCTTATTCATTCAATTATCCCCTTTTCCATCCATTCAGAAATGAAATCACAATCACAAAAATTGCCCAAAAAACTAGTGAACTCTCGTGAACTACAGTGCAGGTGGCCATTGTAGCGCACGGATGGCCGAGTGGTCTAAGGCGCCAGACTCAAGCATATAGCTTCGCGCGAGTTTAGTGCGATTGGGCGTTCTGGTATCCGTATGGATGCGTGGGTTCGAATCCCACTTCGTGCAGATCTTTTGTATCCGTATGACGAATGGAAGTATCATCCAAAATGACAGTACACATTTCACATGTATCATTTCACTGCGTTTCTTGTGAGCTTTGCATATTATTGTGTTTAATGCTACTGATGGAACGACCGATGTGACGAGCCGATCTCATCAGGCCGATATTAAAACTGAAAAATCGCAATGTTGTGTGATAATTGAAAATGTCATCATTTCCACATTGAATGCGAAACTTTCAATCAAATAATGAATTCAGCTGGGCATTCATTTTATCAATTTGAATTCATATGTTAAATGACTGCGAGGAAATTTATTCCAAATTCGACGTCATTTTCCATCGCCTATTCCAATGAAATGGTCCACTGTAAAAATTCGATCTCGACTCAGCATATTTTCTTTAAATAATTTTCTTTTGTTTGTTCTCAATGAAATTTCGTCTCCTTCAATTCACCCATCCAGTACTAATTGCAAAAACGTTTCAAACTAAAAATGTTTGTGTAGTGTAGGCAATCAAATGCTGTTTCTGTTACAGTTTCTAACACCTTCGTTCACTGGTATCACAATCAGTGAACAAACTGCTTCACATCGTAAATATTTCGCTTCCCTAAAAGTTGTTCAGCAATTCCAATTTGCCATCTTCATCATTCGTATTTTTGCTAACAATTTTAAGCTACTGGTGTTCAGTTTCCTAGTTAACAAAAATTGCACTGTTTATTGATAGCAAATTTCATTTAACTTCAATTTGTTTCAAAGATTGGGTTTGGACAATCACTGTGTCGAGAAACATAAAAATAAATTCAAAGAGACCATTTCCTTGGCAAAAAAGTCAGCCAGTCGCAAAGAATAGTCTCTGAAAAGCTTGAGTCTACTGAAAAAGATCAAAACCGGTTCACTTCATACATTTGAAATAAACAAACTTCTAGAAAACTGAGCTTAATTCAGTCTGAACTAATCAAACAGGTCTTGTGACTCGTTTATGTTATGAGCAGAATCACTAGATAGTTTTAGATGAAATGTGACTTTTTTGAAGTTTTTTTGATAACTTTGATAATATTGTCAATAATATCGATAATGTTAATACCATTAGCAATGATGACAATAATCATAACACTACCACAATAATAACAATACTCTTGAACTTGATATCTCAAAAATAGACGCGAATTTACGCCCAATAATATCGAATTTATTCGAAAACAACCTCAATCATCAATATTCCTGATTTATGATCTATCATTTGTACGGTTAACAATAGGATGTCAGTGATTTGTTTGCGATGCAGTGCAAATGTAAATAAAATACATGTACAAATATCGACCAATGAATATGGAAGCAGCAAGAGCTCCAGCTTTATTGCACCTCTCCTCCTAACCAGTTACCTCGTATTGTAGTACTGCACCTCACCTCACCTCGCCTCTACTCACCTCACCTCAGTCAAATCCCCTCACTCCGTTAAAACAGTTCGTCTCAACTAACTACTCATTTGACTCACTTCGTTCATTCTTGCCCTATGATTCTCTTTTGAATAGTCCCTTATATCAGCTAATCGCGATTCTTCCGAACATCACTCGATAATGCGCGAACATACATCCAGGAATGTTCCTTTCTGTTGGAAAATTCAAATTGATTGAAGTCTCTTTTTCTGATTGTTGAGAATTCATGTGAAGGAATCTGTCAATGAGTGCAATTGTAACTTAGTATAGTCAGTGATTGCTCATTTTCCTTTGGAGTTGATCTCGAAATTACGAGTCGATCGCAGAATGAGAGTAATCAGCGAGAACAGGCATGGATGCAATTAACATTTTCCTTCAAACTTTGCATTACCTCCACTGTATAACGTGAAAATATTCATTCGTAAACCTCATCTGAGAACGAGAAAATATTACGGTGAATGAGCAATAAATTTGAAAATTCCCATGTAGTTATTCTTTCAAGCTAGAGCATCAATTGCCTTCGACATTTTCAAAATTTCGTTGGATTGTTTGTTTGTCTTGCATTCATTTTGTAAAAGCCATAAAAATTTGATGAAATTGTTGAACTTATTTCAAAAAGCAACAATCTACAAACTTCAAATTATACAGTTTTGACAATAGAAAGGGATTATTTTCACTCGATTGTTAGCGAACAACGATAATCGTCGTAATGTGTACATAACTTCTTATGGAACTCTTTTAGTCTCACGTACCTATCGCTTATTCGCTTCACAATACTGTCTGCTGCTCACAACAATAAGCATCGAATAATTTTTGCCAAACGAATGGAAATTTAGAGTTTTGTATGGAATTTCATTAAAAGCAATGAAACACGCTTATTTCCACTGCTGTAGAGATGTGTTCCAATCAACAACCCATATTTTCCAAGTGAATTCTTCTAAACTCACTTTTAGTTAATCCCAGTCCCAGTAAGCACTACTTCTCGATTTTCACTTGCCACACATCAGATATGTACAATCAGATGCGTTCAGCAACACGTAAACTCAATTAGTTCCCTCTTCGGAGAGTCGTATATTCATAACTGAACGTAATTACTATCGCTAATGCCACCGTTACCCACACTCACAAAATCATGTCAGAATTTTGAAACAAATAACGTTCCTTAACCGTTCAGCTGCTCAAGCTAATATCCATCACATGATCCAAATCGTGACGGAGCGAAAGAATTTTCAGTGTCATAATAATTACTTTCACTGGATACATCTGAAATGTACGACTTGGAGTTTCATCGTGAGGAGAGTTTAGCCGATATTGCCGATAAATTAAACAATATGCATTGATACTTTGTCAACATATCGTTTCTTCTTTAACAATCACTTTTTACAAAAAATAACATTAATTTACATGTATACTGCAAAAATTCATTCAGTAATTTCTATTCAGTACTCCACTTCTGTCTATAATACTTTCTCACTGCAGAATGTCACCTCAATTGTTTGAAATCTCCCTAAAATGAATGCATTGCTACGATAATTCATAATATTATTCGAGCATTTTACACTGCTTGACAAATGGTTATTCGGTCGATAACCGTTCCGCTATCATGCATTAGTTGTGAGATTAAAACAAGAATCTTGAAAAACTAAATATTTCAGTTGCAGCAGCAATATCAGCACTGATGAATCGCTACGCAACACCTTCACCGAACAATTTCTCCTCGAATCTGAGCATGAGTTCGTACGATGGTGACTCATCGTACAGACCCGTTCCGCAACGAAGTCCCCTTACAAAGGTTTTGTTTTACAGCAATTTCATCACAGTCTGTTTTTTAATTCTCTCATTGCAATGGCTACCAACAGCGGTTAATCCTTTTAGATCCGTTTAGAAAAGCGCTTCAATTCCGTGTGACCATTTTCTTCCTTATAATAGTTTGAAACGTACAATAAATCAATATGGCACAGAAAACAGCTCAACTGGATCGCCTGAATGCAGCTGAAAGCAACACTGCTCACATTCAGAGACCGTATGGAAGATGACTCCCTCATTTTTAAGCCTCTTTATGTGACAAAATTCTAAGTTGTTTGCAGCAAGTCAATCAAATGGCTTATGAGATACCGCACAACAAATACGCCACAAATGCATGGAGTTATGCGCCCGAATTCTTGAAAGTATTTGGTGATCTGCGGATTCCGATTGGAGGACGTGCAATGTTCGATTGTGTTTTACTTGGTTCACCTAGACCAAAGGTTATCTCCAAGGAGCTTTTCACTGAAAACCACAAAATTAATGCCAGCAGATATCGAGGAACCTTCAGCTCCCAGTTCAGCGATCATATTGATCAAAGGAATTCTTTCCTCATAATGCCATCTGACTGGTATTTTGATCCCTACATAATATGTACATGATCAGTTCATTTCAACTGAAACAAGAATATGTTTGACTCAATGATATACATGCGCTATATATACTCATCTTGCATGATTCCATTAGATCAATGAATACAATTTAGTGATTTCAGTAATTCAACGGATTTTTAATTTGGGTTGAATTCATGTTCATGAATGTTTCGCCTACACGAATATTCTAAGTACATCGTTGAAATATTTCAGAGCTTTACAGCGCATCCCTGAAGATAGTTGGGCAGTTCAGATGAAATTTGAAAATCACGGCAAACTTTGATATTTGAGGTGCTGGCTGAAGATCTCAGGAATTATCTGAGTGGTATTGCAGGTTTGCTGGCTATTCAACGATGAGAAACTGAAATTTACGGACGTTCAGATAGAGGATACATCGGATTTGTGTAGGCTAACAATACCATACGTACAACCGTATCATTATGGTGTATATACAGTGCTGTGCGAGAACGAAGTTGGTCGTGCTGTAACATCTGCTTTTCTATATCCCTTGTAATCATTTGCAAATTGCAATTCATCTACTTCATTCTCTCGTGAGATTATCAATTTGTAAAATGTCATTCAGATAAGCACTCATCCCAAGGCCCATAATCAGGAAATAGTGGTCGAATTTCTCCTTCAATGAAATTTCCCTATATTGGGAAATCGGGCAGTGTCCTGCTACGTTTGAGGGAAATTGCCTTCAGTATGGCTTTTGTATTCCTCTTGATTATGGGCAATTAATCGGTTTCTGCAAAGCGTCTCATGGTCATATTGAACTGATAAACGATTAAAATGGCTCTGACGAGATGTAAATAAATTAAGATAAATCNGTAAAACATCACAATTATGCTTAACTAGTTGTAATCTGTGGAATGCTGAAGTGCAAAGTACTTGAATAGTGAATTACAAATATACATCAGCGACATTCTTTCACTCACTTTAAATGTCCAGTTGACAGTCACAATCCGACGGAAATCTGCGAAAAACAATGGATTATTTCTTTAAGAAAACGTGGAAATGAGCTCATTTGCTGGATCGTGAACCGTTCTACATTTTTCATGTGAATTTTGAACACACCTGGCGAAAATGAGATTCACGATAACAGCAGGAAAATGCGGGGAGGGAAAGGGGGGAGCTGAACTGTAAGTGTGATCAATAGACAGCTGGGCGGCAAATGCATTTTTTACTTCAATTTTTCGGATTTTCTTGACCACGGTTCAACTGATTAGTTGATACTGGAACGTAAATGTTTCAAACTGTTTGTTATATTGCAACTGTTAAATCTAATGCTTTCTGTGTTCGTTTTTTTGTGTTTCGAATCAATTCAGAATATGCGTTTTCTCCATGCAGCAAATCAGAAAATACAATATCTACTTTTGGCCGGTAAAAATCCAAAGTTAATGGGAACGTTCGCATCAACTAGGAAATATCTTCGCTGTTTCAATTATTTCAATGCTAAAAGGCACCCAAATGTTTTCTATTGACTGCCTATTGGAAAATTTGTAAATATTGGGTGGTGAAAAAATTTTGAGATTTAACAAACAAGCGTTTTTGTGATATATTCAAACCTAGAATTGCATCAGTGGCCACCGAAAGAATCCATCGATTCAGACCAGGCCACTCTTCATTGGGATAGGGAAGTGATGTCTTTCCGTGGGTTCTCATTAACCTTCGAGCTACGTTTATCGCTGCTCACCTGATTATGTCCGAGTTGGAAAACCCATTTTGATATTATTGAACGCTTAAAAAATCGAGTGAAACGCATGATTTTTCCGTAGACCCACCGACAGATTCGGGGTTAGTGTGCGATCATCGATGAATTTCACCATGTCAGTGGCACATCCACGACGATAAAAATCCTCATTTTTTCTCACCAAACCAATAAAAGAATTTCACCATAATTTTTTCTACTTTTTCACTCGATGAACATACAAACCGACTCATTTTGAACTCTTTTTGGGAATAAAATTGCGTGAAGCAGTCACTGTGTTTCAATGCGATTTCAAAGGCTACAGATGATGGCGCTCATGGTTTCTTTGATTGAAACCTTTGTATAATAAAAATTTCTACTATATCACTGCATCTGCTAATTGTGAGTGCTGTGAAATTGAGCGATTCGTATTTTTGTTCTTTGTTATTCACAGTCAGTGCTGTTTCGTGTCTCATTGTATTATACTTCAACTGTTCGAATAAACTTTGCATAAATAATAAACTTTGCATTCAGTTGTTTGATGGATGCATGGCAATGTGCAAAATATCGCAACGATAAAGTATTGCTTACGAAATCCACTCGGCTCATTTGTAACTAACAATCAACAGTTCGGTGGCATTCTGTCGAGAAATCTCACCTTCGGTTGCGAGATAACGTTCGTAAGAGAGTCCTTTCGTAACCTCGCTAACAGATGAGATAAATTTCTGTCACTTTCATCGGTTTTCACGAGAGATTCTTCCAGCAATGTGGAACAGGAATGTTTCATGTGGCCAGATATTAAGATCGAGGCCAATTTGTAGAAGGAAATCTTTGCTTATCATTAGCATAAGAATCTTGAACTATTTATTGAAATGTTTTGTATACAGATTGTGTAATCGTTGATCGTCAGACAAATATCATTCACCAACTTACGTGAATGAGGTGAAATATGCCGTCTCTGTTGCATGTTCATGGCTCATTTTCGTTTGTGAGGATACACGGACTGTTACTTCTCACATTTATTTACCCAGAATGAGTGAAGGAAATGTTCTTACCTCGTTTTTTTTGTATAGAAGCGAATTTAGACGATACGAGTGAACAAGCTCAAAATTGGCGTTCTTGTTGGATGCTGTTAGACTGTGTAACGGTAGTGTGGCGAGTATGCAGTAACCAACAACTCTTTAATAAGAATATTGATGAATTTAAAGTTGAATGAGATCGCACGCACCAGCAATTTACTCACTAAACTTTTCACACTTCTTTCTGCACCACAATTCATGGTTTGTTTTGTTTATCTGATTTTTTCAAATAACTATAATTCTTTTTGGTATGTATTCTTGCACACCTGATCTTTTGCTGTCAAGGGGGAGCACACGCTCGCACATGCGTCAGACGAATCCGTGGCGTGCGCTTAGGCTTATGCTAAGGCTATCCCTTTTCTCACTTTCGATGGGCCTTCACATAGATAGACAACGAAACGGGTGCACCCCTTAACAGCAAAAGCACTTTAAAAAACTTTTTGTAGCTAATAATGCATATGAGATGTGTAAGAGCACATACCAAAAAGAATTATAGTTATGTGAAAAAATCGAATAAACAAAACAAACCATGAATTGTGCAGAAAGAAGTGTGAAAAGTTTAGTGAGTAAATTGCTGGTGCGTGCGATCTCAACTTGACATTCATCAATACTCCTATTGAAGG